TCTTGCAGAGACATTGTTCGGGTGAATGTCTACGGCGTGGAGCTCGTGAGAGACGGCGCTGCGAGATAAGAAAATGACGTAACAATTTTGTTGCAGCAGGGGATCTTCAAGGGTGCAGGGGCTAGGAGGGTGAGAGTCATCGCCAATATACCAAGAATCTAGTTTGTGTACTGCTGCTCGATAATGACCACTAGTGGCCTCCATGCCTAGGTGAATGATTACTGCCTCAGTTGTGTAGGTACAGAAGGAAATTCGGGAAGTGTGATCTAGGAAGACAGGAATCTGAACTTGCTGTGGAATGGCAATGCAGTTGTGATCCTTTGCTTCACCTGCAAATCTCGGTAAGGCTAAGCACACCTGTTGTGCAGCTTCTATGAGAGCACATGAGCGCTCCTGAGACGACCATGCCACTAGCATGTCCTGCAGGTTGGGCTTGATCGCCGTGGCGAGATGAATGGGAGAACCCCCTTCTTCATCGACTATCACACCCTCTGGAACTGATGCTCGAGTTTCCCACTGTCCAAATTTTGATGCAGAGAGATTCCGAAACACTTGCTGCAGGAACTCTGCAGAATCATGCTGTCCTCCGTCAAAGAGCCAGCCCGTGGTGAGCTCCGAGAAGACTCTGTGTTCAGGGGTTATTCTCGCGAGTAGACTGATCCGAGATGCCTCGTGAAAAGGCGCCTCTGTGGGATCAGATAGCCAGTGCAGACACTGTAGACCTGAGTTGGCATAGCAGTGGTTGCGAGTGTTGGCTAGCAGGAGAAAGCCTTCCAGTCTAAATTCGGGAAGGGGAATACCTGGCATTGAATCTGTGGGCTTCTTTGTGGCTGTCTTCGCCGAGGTCGTGGGCCTTGCTCGAGTATATTCTCGGGGCTGCTTACTGAGCTGCTGACGCGCTACCTCCTGCAGTACGTGCACCTGCAGTAGTGGAACGCACTGCTGAGCATGTCTACCCGGGGCATCCACACGGAGTTTGCAATAACGACAGCTATCTCCTTTGTGAAAGAAGACCTTGAACTGAGCAAGTCTTGGTTGGAGAGTTTTCTCAAGCTTGGCCATCACTTCAGGATGCTGCTTGTTTAGGTGCTGTTTGGCTCCTTTCTGACCAACAAGGACCTGACCGCAGAGTGCACAGTGCTCCATCAGGTAATCATGGAACACCGGATTTCGAGCTGCTCCTTCTGGATTTTCCTGAGCATCAGACTGTAGACTTTCTGTAAGTGAAATCCGGTTCTGGGCTTCTAGAGGGAGCTCTTCCTGCTGTCGAAGCAAGAGCTCTACCCGAGGGCATGTAGATGCTTCGACGTGTTTGCGCAGATAGAACACTGTTCGGAATGTTGCTCTACAGGCGATGCAAGTTGCTGACCCTGGCATTGAATGCAAAATAGGGTCAAATTTGGGTCCTTTCAAGCTTTGCTGCGAGTCTGGGTGGGCCTTCTGCAGGTGGCGACGGAGTGCCCCGGTACCAGAGAGACATGCTCCACACTCGCCGCAGGTCAGGATCTTATCCTCTACTGATTGCGAGGAGAAGTCAATGGCAAGGCCTTCCAGAGCCTGGCTGATTGCCTCAGCGCGCAGCTTGTAGTGTGGGAGGAGCTGAGGATCTGAGTGTTGCTGTCTCTTAATGAACTGTGTCAGCCTCTTTTGCAGCTGCTCCTTCACGTGAGGAATCCGTACTCTCCGGAGTAACTCCTGGTTGGATTCCTTCGTTTCCTGGGAGTAGCTCCGCAGGACAAACCGAAGTTGGTACATCATGTGTGAATGGAGCTTCTGCAATCCCTGCTGTGTCAGTCCTACCACGTGAAGGGCATACAGAGCAGAGGCCCACGCAGTTATTGTCCAAATTGACAGACGACGTCTGTCTGATAGGACTCGATGGTTCCTAACTGCATGGGCGACTTCTGACATTGCTAGCTTACTGGATGACAGCCGATGTTTAAGGGTCTTCATTTCGTAGTCATGATAAGAAAGAATGACCCCCAGGTATGGGACCTGGTACCGCAGCGATATCAACTTGCCCGAAGGGAGTTCCACAAACTTCTCTCCATCTACCTGGCGAAATAGCTTTTTCCTAATTGTCGAGGCTGAACCTCCTTGTAGCTGCAGCAGTATTGCTGACTTGGACGGATTGACCTTGAACCCAAGTTCAACCAATTGATCCAGAAGAAGGTCGCAGTACCCTAGTGCTGTAATGAGGCCAGACTCAGACTCGAAATGCGACTGAATCAAGCTATCATCCGCATACATGGTGAGAAGTTTAACTAGTTCGGGGGGGCTGATTTTTCCAGAGAGCTTCCTAAAGAGAAGCCCGGATGCAAAGGCGAATAGGGAAGGTGCAAGCTTGCATCCCTGCTTGATTCCCCTGCGTGTGGCTATCTCAAAGCTCTGATCGCTGGCTGTCATCTTGTACAAGGCTTTGATGTGGAGATGGCCCACCACCTCTATAAGAAGAGGGTCTGCTTGTTCAGCTTCCAGGGCTTCTCTTAATCGTAGCCTGTCCACAGTGTCAAAAGCTTTGCTCATGTCAACGCTCATCGTGAGACTGCCCCTGAGCTTGAGCCCCTGTTGTCCCTTACCAGCCGCTCTAGTTGTAAGGGCCTGCCTGAACCTGGCCTGATCCACATGTGTGAGGGCCTTGCAGATCGCCTCCTCTGTGCCCCTACCTGGTACGAAGCCAAACTGAGAGACTCCTTGCATTGCTTGATGGAGGGTGGACTTGAGTCTCTGCCTCACAAGTCCTGCCAGGACCTTGCCCTCAGGTGCTATCACCCCGATCGGACGGAGTGATGTTGGCTTATCTGGCTTCTTGGGGGGCTTTGGGAGCCAAGAGATCTGTGACGAGGTGACGCTGTCCGAAAGCCTTCCTGCAGTGACTTCCCTATTGAGAGTGTCCGAGATGAGCCGAATAGCGTTGGGGCCTAGGGAGCGCCAAGCTACTATGGGAGGACTTTCTTTAGGAACTGCTTTGCCAAGCTTTATAGTGCCTAGCTGTTCTTGAACTTCTTGCTCGGTGATGTGCAGGCTGCCTTGTATCCCTGTGAGCGGGAAGTCGTCCCCTGCTCCAAACAGTTCAATGGAGTATTCCTCTAATTGTCTACGTTCTTCCTTGGCTGTTAGGAAGCGACCCTCTGAGTCACGTAGCTGAACTCTTTCCTGAGGCCTCCCCGACCGGAAGCGCTTGATCACCTTGTAGAGGGAATGACTCCCGTCTTGCTTGGATTTAAGCTCTGCCTGCTCGAGTTGTTCATCTATTTCCTGTCGTCGCCTTTCCTGCTTCTGACGCTTTGCTACCCTCGCCTGTGCACTTTGCTGAGACAGCGACAGCCAGCAGCGAAATACCATTCGGACCTGCAACTCCGGCAAGAACTCTGCTAAGACCTTGACTGACATTGGGAGTGAGCGCAACACTGTGCGCTCTGCCCAAATGCTGAGATCTGATCTTTGTGCTGCTCCCTTTCTCTTGGGAAAGTGAGTCGCGAGGGCTGAGTTCATTGCTTGATGGAGACTCTGCCAGGTTTGGGGATGATCCTGAAGGAGGGAGTCTACCTCCCTGGCAAATGCCTGTATTTTCGGGGAACGGTGTCTGTAGCAGTCCTCCATTGCCTGCTGGTCATAGGGTTTTGAGGCTTGGGCGGAGTATCTCCTGCTGTGCCTCAGTTTACCAAGAAGGGGGAAATGCCTACTACCATCCCTCCAGGATGCCACTGGGAAGGTCCTTAGTGGCCGGCAAAACCTGGCAGGGCCTTGGGACTGTGCAATCCTGACAAACGAGAAGTCAATCTGTGAAACAGAGTTGCCTTGTTCGTGGGTGGCTGGTCTATGCACTCCCCAAGTGTTGGTTGCGACTAGCTGGTGCTCCGACAGTAGGGTCTGGAGATCCTTAGATCCGCGATGCCCGAGTCTGCAAGCCTGGATCGTGCATGGCCCTACGTGTTTGTTGTCGGTCTTGAGCGAGGAGTTAAAATCTCCTAGCACAAGGAGAGTGTTGCGATTGGGAACAGCTCGGATGGACTTACTTAGGGCGTGAAGGGTCTGCTTCCGGGTTTCCTTATTCTGAGCGACTGTCTCCTTAGAGCGCCAAACGTATTGATAGCAGCTGAAGACGTCCAGTGAGATGCCGTTGCTCGGCACCCGGACCTGGAGAACTCTTCCTGGAACAACCTCGTTGTAGCGAAGATCCTGTGACTTGCACAGCGTGGAGTGCACCATTATGAGGACCCCGGCTCCCTTCTCCCCTGTGGAACCAGAGCTGATCACGTGCCAACCTGACTTGCTGAATTGCCATGAGCCCCTCCAGTGTGTTTCCTGAATTGCTACCAGCTTCACATCCTGAAATGCGGCACTTTGCAGTACGGAGAGTAACTCTTCCCAAACTGCTGTTGTGAGAGATCCTGCGTTCCAGGATAGATAGCTGAGATTCTTATCTTCTGTAAATTTTGAAGGCCGAGTCCTTCTGCCGGGATTGGTGGGCTTTACATGTGCCGGAGCAACTCCAAGCTCTGTTGACGACATCGTCCTTCCCTTGTAGACCGCACTACCTTCAAGCAGAGCTTTACGTGCTGCCCTTTGATAAGAGCGTTTACCCTTCCCTTTAGGAACGGGCTGATGCTTGGTCGAACCACTAGGCTGTTTCGCAGCACTCATGTTGAGTACGGCTCCTGTCGGCTTCGCAATACCGACAACCCTCACCTCTGGGAGATGTTAGAGAGCTGTAAATCTAATACTCCCTCCCGGACTTGGGACCGGGACTGCTCAGGCGCTGACAAATGCCATGGCAAGAAAGGAAAAAGGCAACTGTACTAGCCTGACCTTTCCTGAGCCGAGAGGCTTATAGCAATAGCAATAGCAATAGCAATAGCAATAGCAATAGTAATAGTAATAGTAATAGTAATAGTAATAGTAATAGTAATAGTAATAGTAATAGTAATAGTAATAGTAATAGTAATAGTAATAGTAAAGCGCCACGAGCGGTTCAAGATGACGGGCCGCGTAATGCCATGCCGGATCATTCGCTAGTGCGTCTGAGATCCTGGCTACTGGAGGAAGTTGAATCTCTCTTGACAACCCAAACTGAAGTTACGTTGGCGTGGTCAGCTGATCTGCTTACTGCGCTGTGGTCTGAAGTAGCGTTGTCGCAACTGATTCTTGAAGCAGAGCTGATTCTTCCAAGTGCCAGCTTTCGACGATTTCTCTCATTTGCCATCCAGAACTACCCGGAAGAATCACTTGAAGGGCTTCATGCAGCGTTTCATACAGCGAATGAGCCAAACTGGCCTATCTACGCGGCCCATGATACCAGAACACAGTGATCCTGCACCACTTGAAGATCATGATCAATCCACTGCAGGCACTGGCTCGGCTCGGTCCCAAGTCCGAGCGTTGCGTATGGATACTCCACCACACAACATTGATACTGCAACGGGCGCGAGGGTTTCCTGTGCCTCCCCCGGCCAGGGTGAAGCCGTTTCGACGGACGAGAGGATACGGAAAAGGATGCTGAAGCGTGCCTTAAACCGTGCAGCGGACTGGCAAGTCTACGTACCAAGGCAGACCGATCAAGGTGTTTGGCCATTGCGCGCAGGTGGCGATCACGCCGCCCAAGATCCCAGCAACTGCTCCTGCAGGCGTGGAGAGACTGCAGTGCATCCACTGGAATTGCTCTGGGCTTTCGGAGGAGCTTCAGATTGAATGGTTTGCGTGGCTTCGGCTACAACCACAAGTCAAGCTGTTCGTTCTGGTGGAAACACACTGGAGCTTCACAAGTGAATACCGTTCGCACGGCTGGCACTTGATCCACAGCGCTAAAGAAGGTGGCAAAGGGGGTGGCATCATGATCGGCACTCGCGAGGACATGACCAAAGCCGAGGACATCAAATGGCGAGTCATGATACCTGGTCGGCTTGTGCATCTTCGCAGCGTCGTGGGGAAACAACAAATGGACGTCATCGGAATCTACCAGACCGCAGTTTCGCATGTCTCTGGAGAAAAGCAACAGGAGCTTGCCCGACAACGCAACAAACTATGGCACACCATGGACAATTTACTTGCAGGGCTGCCTTTTCGCTCTTCTGTTGTGGTCTTGGGAGACTTCAATGCCACCCTCAGTCCACTTTCAGAGGTGGCAGGGTCGGGCATTGTGCCTGGACCGCGAGCGCCCTGGCTGGTTCAGGAACGCTCTGATATCATGCAGATTCTTAGGAGGCATCGTCTTGTTGTTCTTAACACCTGGCTGCGCCCCACGCACACTTTCCATCACCCAAATGGTAAGTCCCAAATTGACTATATCTTGATACGCAAGCAGCTCGCCGATCAGCAAGCTCGTCGTTGCACGGTCATTGCCCCTCCTATAGCGGCTTGGAGATCTTCAGGCCACAAGCCTCTCTTGGCCAGTTTTCGGCTAAACTGGAAGCCCTGGAAAGCTAGCATCTCGAACCCCAAAACTACGTTGGTTGCGGTGCCTCATATCCATAACATCCTGGCAGCTACAGTACCTTCGCTTGAACACCTTCGCAGTGCCGTCAAACAACAGCTTGAAGTGCCAACTGTGAAGCCACGGTATCCGGCTTTATCTGATGTGGATCCACAGATACATACAATCTGGCAGGAACAGCAACGGAGACAAGCCGCCGTCAATCCACAAGCAGCTGATGCTCAGGAACAGATGGAAGCCTCCGCCAAACAGGCGCGCCAGGAGCTTCGCAAGCTAGCTAGACAACGGAAGCGACAACGAATGCTGGACACGCTTGAGGAGGCACAGCTGGCCTTTCAGGCGGGGGACATACGATTACACTTTCAAATGATTCGGAAGCTGGCCCCTAAAACTTATCGTCGAAAACTCAGCCTAAAATCTGCAAGTGGGGATCTTCTCTCAAACGCAGAAGAATGTGAGCTGCTGGCCTCATATGCTACCGACTTGTTCGATGATTCGGAGTTTGTGCTTCCTCCGCTGCTGCCTGTATCTTCAGACATGTTCTCCACTGAACAGTGGCAGCGAGCCTTTGAACAGCAGAAGCCGCACAAGGCAGTACCGATGGGGGATGCATCCATTCAAGCTTGGCGGACCAGTTCGGAGGTGCTCGCTGAGGGGTTGTCTCGGATTGCTCAGGCGACATTGTGTAGTGCCCAGCCGGAGCTTCCGCAGGAGTGGGCAGAGGTGCAGCTGGCATGGCTGCCAAAGCCAGGACGTGCGCCAACAAGTCCAGGCTCCTTGCGCACGATTGGGCTAATGGGGGCGGATGTCAAATCTTTCCTCACGATTATCAAGCATCATGTCAATCCTGTGGTGCAAACTGCTCTACGGCACGTGCCTCAATATGCCTACAGGCAACTTGCATCAACGGGCGATGCACTGCTACGAGCAACTTTGCATTGCACCCAAGTTCGACAGACGCTGGCAGGTTATCAGGACGACCATACATCACGCGTTCTCGGTGCTCCTGAGCGGGAACTTCTTGGAGGCCTTATGGTAAGCATTGATTTGTCGAAGGCTTTTGATAAGCTTCGGTATGAAGAAATGTACTTATCCCTACAGGAAGCCCAGGTTCCGGAGGTACTGTGTAGACTGATCCTGCATGTTCATGCGAAAACGCGGCTTCGAATCGTCCATGGGGGGCATGAACGCACAACTGGAATGAAGCGGGGTTTGCGGCAGGGCTGCAGCGTGGCTCCCATGATCTATGCGTGCTGGACTATCAGACTATGCCGGCTCATCAACGAAGGCACGCATGCTCAGTGGACTCAGCAGAATTGCTCCATTTTCGCTGATGATAAACACTTCCATTGGCCCCTAAATAGTTGTGAGGACCTTGCCTTACCACGGCTGTTCACCAACTGCATGGGATCATTGGTGTCATCCATCAGCTGGGCATGACAGTGAACTTCGCAAAATCCATTGCGGTGTTAGCGCTGAAGGGTGCAAAGGTTAGGCAAATGCTGGCTAAACATACCAAATGGTGGAATGGTGCCAGGTGCCTGGTTTTGCGTGAGAATGAGCATGACATCTACATTCCGATCCAGGACTCGATGCCGTACTTAGGGGCGGTACTCAGCTACCATAGCTTCGAACTGCAAACAGCCCAACACCGCATTCAACAGGCGAACTCGAACTTTGCTCAACTTCGGGACGTTCTTCGTACCAATGGTGCGCTCAGCCGGGCTCGCAAGCTTGATGTTTACAGGATGTGCGTGTGGACCTCGCTGACCTACGGCATTGCCTCGGTAGGTGCTACATCAGCTTCATGCCGCTCCTTGCAGTCGACTGCTGCTATGCACTTACGTAAGCTTCTGAGGATCTACAAGAAAGGGTACTCCAACGAAGCAGTACTCAGGCAGGCCGACCTTGCGCTGATTCCCCACCTTTGCCAACGCGCGGCGCAGCAGGCCAAATCGTTAGAGATGGATGTGCATCGTGCGCCGGTTGTTCGACGGCATGAAGACGAGCGAAGCAGACAAGTGCAGTTGCAGCTACAGGACCTCGAGCGAGACGGACTGCATCAACACCTGGTTCCGATCCCAGCGCAAGATGACGCTCATGTGAGTTGCCCGGTATGTGGCCTGGAGTTTGTCAATGCTTCAGGTCTTCATCAACATTTGCATCAGAAACATCCGGAGGTAGCCAAGGCGTCGAGTATTGACTTTGTTCGGGAGCAGCATTCGCTTTTTGGCCTACCATATTGTCGATTCTGTCGTCACAGGATGAAGTCGTGGCAAACTCTGACGAAGCATGTGACGCAGGGGATGTGTCTCCGGCTCAAAACAGCAATCGGTCAAGGCCAGACGATCCAAGAACTCCTGGCTCGAATTGAGGCTTCGAGGCTCGGGATCCACCTGTACCTCCTGACGAGGTTCGCAGCCTTCAACTCAGTGTCACTCGTGATGATCTTTTCGTTGAGAACATCATTAAAACACCGCTGCACGAACTCAGCGAACATGGCCCTACCCTTCGGAGTCGAGCTCGGCAATGCATGCTTTGTGGCCAATGGCTCGTGCAAGCCTCCAGGATCAAATCCCATTGGCAAGCATCACATCCAGAAGCCTGGAGCCTATGTCACCGGCATGCACATTCGGAAGCACAAAGCCTTAAAGCCCTTTTTCGAGCTCCATGCTGCTTTTGCGCCAGCAAGGCCCGGAATGCGGCGATGCACGCCACGCAGTGCTCGGTTATGTTTCAGGTTCTCTCGATAAGACGGCTTCGGACTCAAAGTGTGGATTGGACTCTCGTGCAAGGCTCCAAGCGAGCGGACGTCAAGGAGGCAGGCAAAAAGCCGGCTTACAAATCCTTTCAATCTCCAATGGCAGCTGCGCTCAAACAGGGAGCGAAGTCGCTGGGAGCCACTTCTACTCTCGCAATCAGCTCCTCGAGTACTACACAGGCGCCACCGATCCCTGCGCACAAAAGCTCTGTTGAGCCGCTCTCTGCAAGCAGGACTCTGGTCCCCACGACCGGTGCCTCGAAGGGCACCATTCAGGCGTACTTTCAGCGCCGCGGCACGGACAACCAATGTGACTCAGATCCCATGCAGGCTCCTTTTACATGCCATTTGCGACTGGTCAATCCTCAAGCACTATGCTACGTCAATGCCGGGATCACGGCCATCTTGCATGCGTGCCAAGTGTCCCACACAGGTGTAGCTGAACTTGAGTTCCTAACCAAGGTCCTGGCACTTTCGACGCAAAGACGACAGGAGGTCCTACTCCCGCGCTTGTCTAGGTTTCGTGCACTGACACCGGACTGGGACTTCCACTCTGGTCAACAGGACACTGCGGAATACATGCACTACCTCTTTCAGGCAGTCACAACTCTGCAGATCACGTGGGATTCCAGGTGCACAGAAAATGGGGAGCATCGCATTCGTGCTCAGGGCTCCAATCCGATCCCCATGAACATTTCCGACCTTCCAGAAGGCCGATGTGCTCTTCAAGAGGTTGTATGTGGCTGGCATTGTGCAGACGGAGTCACAGCCATGAACTATGCGTACCCCATTGTATGCATTCAAGTGAATAGGTACATCGAGGGAGGCAAGTGCCACAAGATCATTGACCTCCCAGCACAGGTGCTCCTTCCAGTCTTTGACGATGTGTCTGCAGTCACATGGCACAAATATGACATCCGGAGCGCCGTCATTCACTTGGGCAGGTTCACTACGAGTGGTCATTATCGTGCTCTTCTCAAGGTCGGGAGCCTATGGCGTATCTCAGATGACGGGTGTCCCAGTGTTGAGCTCACTTTGCATGCTGGACATGGGAAAAACATTTATGTGGTGGTGTGTGGACTTTGTTCTTCGGAACCACATGCCGCGCCCGCTGCTCTTCGCTCTTAGACCGGGGCTCTTAGCACCTCCACGCCACCCCGTGTTGCCCAGTTCTTCCGCGGTTTCTTTGACTCCTACTGGCCAGCGGTCGCTGGCTCCATTGCCAATGGCTCAGGATTGCCCTCCACTGGACCTCCATCCGACTCGCTTGGAGACTTTGACACAGAAGACCGTGCCAGAAGCCAGAAGCAGAAGCGCACGGAAGCAGGCAAAGGCGGTAGAGGAAACTGGAGAGCTGGTGGCAGAGGCGGGCAAGGAGGGGGATACGGCAGAGGTGCTGGTCCCAAGCGGGGCCAAGCCAAGGAGTGGACTGAGGAAGAATGGGACAAGTGGGCGAGCAAATCGACCAAGGAAATGAGCCTGGCCGAGGAGGTCAAGCATCTTCGGCAGTGTCTGTTTGCGCTTCAGAGGATGGTGCTTCGGGCGGAGGATTTCATGTCGTGCATTCGTGCGGAGCTTTCATGGGTAATGTTCTTACGCCTGGATATGAAAGCTACGGTGGTCCCTGCTCTGTTCCAGCAGCAGAAAAAGTGGCGCGAGATCAAGGCCCAGACTCCTGAAGCTTTGACGGGGCCAATGCGCATGTCGCTGGTGGTTCAGCTCTTCAAGGAACTTGGTGCCCGGCTTGCAAACTTTCATGAGCAGGAGGAGTTGCTGCAGACAGTGCAGAATCTCGGATGGTACGACCACTCCAACCGATCCTGGTTCTATGTTAAATGGGATGCGGACAATGAGCGCTTGACTCCGGACACCACAAAGGAGCCGATTGGATTTGAGAAGCTGTCAGCTGTGTTCGCATCACTACAGCAGCTTGCCGCGATTCCGAACACGGTGATGAGGTTCCATCCGTCCAGACCCATGGAAGAGACCATGGGCGGAAAGAACCTGACTTTCGTGCTGCAGCTCTGCATCCTTGGAGAATCCTCCAAACAATTTCGAGATCACTTGAGTCACTTGAGCCTCCTGATGGGCCTTGCTGTCACTCAATTGGTCGGTATGGGACTCCGTCCTGAACGCGCTAACCGATCCACCTTGGCCAACATGATTCAGAGCCAACTCCAGGAACTCACGGATCGCGAGCTGTAAACAGCCTTGATGTGTGCGCTGCTTATGGGGGCTACCGGCCCGGGCGCTCCGTTTGGTCTGGCAGTGGATCTATGGGTTTCCTGGACTGGTCAATTTTTGCGCTGACCACGGCTTTGGCTTTGACTCTGGAGTGAGTCTCAATGCACATGTGCGCATGTTGGTTTTGGGAGCCATGGACAGTCCACCTAGCATCATGCTGGGTTGTTTCTTACAGGAGCGAATCTTGAAGACGGTGCAAGGCCACCACTGCACGGCGCTTTAATCAGTGACAGGCTGTTGCGCTGCGCGTTATCCTCTCCGGATGCTAAACAGCCAGATGCTCTTCAACCTATGTCACGGCTGCATTGCATGCAATGGCACATGGCCCTTGTGCCATCCTAGGTGCTCCTTGAAACGTCGTCTTCGAGATCAAGATAGACCTATGCTCTCACGTGCTCCCAGCTGCCCTGGATTGACATGTTTCTAAAACCATGATTCGAGACTGTCGCACAGGAGCTTACATTCTGGATGCTGTGGTGTTTTGTACTCAAACCATGCAGAATGCCCAGTAATACCCTGTGAAGTGACATGAGTTGGGGGAGCCGCTTACGTTTCGGCGAGACGCCGACTTATGAGCTCGACTCCCATGCGGATCCTAGAGTGCCAGCCTCCTTGATGCTTGAGGCTGAGGGGTCAACGGATGCGGGCCTAAACGCTCCAGGTGACAGGTGCCACCGTAGTCGCAGCCCTCGTATGCGTGGGATTCTGCCTAGCCGGGAACCTGCCAGTGACTCCGACTTCATCGAAGTACCAGCCAGCTCCTCCTCATGTAGGCAGCGTCTCATTGAAGAGTATATGAGCCCGACGGGTTTTGGCGGTTGTGCTCATGCAAGGTGCGAGAATGTGAGTGCTCCGCTACCAGATTGGCATATGCCGCTCATTCCAAGGGTTGTCAACATTGAGGCTGCTGAGGATAGAGATTGTGTACCTGCTGATGCTCCTCATCTGGTTTCGGCTTTGAGTTTGACTTCGGGGGATCCACACGCATGCATGAGCTATTTCCGGACGCTGCGCTGGCTCATCGCTGCTGCTGACACACTGCGAGCTCTCTTGAGCATGATTCTTCATTCCCTGAGTGCGCTAGGCTCTTACAGCTGAGCGATTGAGCTATGTACACTGCCAAATTCTCGCTGCTTATTGGGGCTATCGGCCCGGGCGAGGTCTGTATTGCATGTTTTTGTGATAATGTTCTGAAGCCAAGTGCTTCCTGGGTCTTAGCTGTCCTTGTAGATGGCAGTGTCTTAGACATGCCCTGGTGCCGCTACGCAAAGACGTTCTCGAACGTTTGCGCCACGGAAGGAAGGAAGGAATAGTAATAGTACTAGTACTAGTAATAGTAATAGTAATAGTAATAGTAACAGTAATAGTAATAGTAATAGTCATAGTGATAGTCATAGTCATAGTCATAGTCATAGTCATAGTCATAGTCATAGTCATAGTAATAGTAATAGTAATAGTAATAGTAATAGTAATAGTAATAGCAATAGCAATAGTAATAGTAATAGTAATAGTAATAGTAATAGTGATAGTGATAGTGATAGTGATAGTGATAGTGACAGTACTAGATATAGAAATAGTAATAGTAATAGTAATAGTAATAGTAATAGTAATAGTAATAGTAATAGTAATAGTACTAGTAACAGTAATAGTAACAGTAATAGTAATAGTACTAGTAATAGTAATAGCAATAGTAATAGTAATAGTAATAGTAATAGTAATAGTAATAGTAATAGTAATAGTAATAGTAATAGTAATAGTAATGGTAATGGTAATGGTAATGGTATTGGTAATGGTAATGGTAATGGTAATGGTAATGGTAATGGTAATGGTAATGGTAATGGTAATAGTAATAGTAATCGTAATAGTAATGGTAAGGAACTCCCCAGAACAAAAACAAACTCGCAGACACGCAAGTATCAGAGAGCCAGACCAAAATCCTTCATGTGGGGTAAAAGAAGCCAAAAATACCCCTGTTGTTTACTAAACTCCCGGCTCCTTTAAGCCACAATGAAATAAACAAAAACGTATTGTAAACGCTATATTTAGGCGTTAAAGCGAAGAAAACACAATCAACCGTGAATGATTCAAAAGCTTGCCTCGCCGCTCTCCAAAGCCGCGAAGAAATGCACAACAGCGTATTCGCCAGCACACAAAAAGGGGAAAGCCAGACAACAACGCTTAAGGGGTGATATTGAAAGTGAAAAATGGTACAACGCATGGCGAGGGATGTGTGAAGTGCTAATTTTCTGTGGCCATCTGTGGCCATTGTGCTCACAGACCCCAGTGCTAGTGGGGCGCAAATTTGAAGGATTTCCGGTGGTGTAGCTGGGAAGTGGCGGGAAGGGATGTTAAGCTAGTGTACTTCAAGTAACATCCCTTCCTGCCTTCTCGAGGTTCCAGGGCCGGAAAAAAAACCCTGTCGGGGTCAGGGCACGAAAGCAGCCCGTTCGGGGGTCGAAAAAAAACTCGGCCATTGTGTTTAATCACAAGCTTTCTTCGCACCGACCTCTTCCTGGCCCTTGTAGTTCGCCGCAGCTCACCTGCTCTTCTGTCTTCGTTGCTGTCTTTGGAAAGCATAGAATTTCTGTTACGGCAGGTCCCAGAAAACTTAGCTGCAAGATTGAAAAGACGACCCTTGTTGGTACAGCTGCTTTCTGCATAGTTGGTCAACTTCATATATCTTGCAGCGACCTGCTGTTCTGTCATCAATTCATGTGCAGCAGTAGAGCAAGTGGCAGAAGCCCTAGTGCGAGTATACACCAGCTGCAACTGCGAGCAGGTGTCACTCCCCAAATCGGCCACTTCATGTCGCCCCTCTTGGTTTTCGAGAGCAGAACGAACGCACACGAGGCAAAGAGAAACACCAGCTTTCTTGGCAAATGCACTGCCATGGCCTTGTCCAACGGGACTGTGACGGGCCTTGCGCAAAATTAGTGCACACACGCCTTTCAGCACTAATTAGAGGTTCGCGCTTCTGCTCCGTTTTGTGTAAGCATTCGACTTTAGCTAAACAAAAGGCTCAACTTCCGTGAACTGATCAAGCACCTTCCCAGTCTTCCTCCAACCCCACGCCGTCGACAAGCAGAGTGGCCGAAGAAATCGTGAGAGGGTCAGAAGCTCAAATTCAACAAGAGAAGACGATGGCACTGGGAGATTATGCTGGCGATCTCGAATGAGAAAGGGCAATCGCAGAAGGTTGGAACGCATACAGCAGGGAATTGAAGCAACGCCCGATATCATTCGCGACAGCTCAAAATCAGAGTTTCCCCTCCAGAACGTTTGAGAATGTGGACGAACACGCGTCTTTTCTCCGTTGGTTGATTACACTGTTCGGGTCAAAGCTAGATTTCGCCTTCGAATCCGAAACCATCAGTGGAGTCCTTGCAGGCACATCGATGTTCCATGATGAACAGCGCAAAGGCATGCCGGCCTGGAAGCCAGCAGGTCGGGAAGAGGGCCGCAGTTCACCAAAGCGCCCTGCACCACTCTTCCTTTGCAGGTGGCTCCGCTTTAGGTGCGAAGGCGCCTGACCAAGGCCACTCCCTTAGCAGCTTCAGCTGTTGAACTGTGGAACTGCAAACAGCTGAGGAAAGAAGCCAACGGGCCAGCTGTCGCGAGTTGGTGCTGCCATGATGAAGGCTTAGCGGCTGCGCGCCCAAGAAGGGAGGCAGCAGTTCTCGTGTTTCTGTGCGGAGACTAATATTCTTGTGCACAAGATTTGTTTAGAAGCCACAGCTTTGGCAAAGACAGATCCCACTCTACTTGCGTTTCGGGCATGCTTATGAAAAAGCCATCAACCCTTTGCCAATACTCTGGTCTGCAGCTTTTGCCACTGGCGAAGAGATGGCCGTCTGCTTTTCCATGTCTTGCTCGACCTGCGCGGTACTGAATACAGGGCCCTGCGCAGCGAGATAATCCCTCTCTCTTACCCATGAAGTGGGTGAGATGCCGACGAACGTTGGACTTGATTCCAACAGTGTGCAGCAAGTTTTTGAGGCTGGCTGCTGTAGCGCAGCTTCAGCATGTAAATGCATCCTCGTTGAACCCACTCACTGCATGAGCTCCCGGACATGGACCAATCAAAGGGGTCTCTCTCAGCGTTGGTTCTGTTGCAGCTCGCATCTCGCTAGACCAGAACTGCTGCAGCTTTGAGTTTCTGCAAAGATCTAGGCAGGCATTGCTGCTCCCCGGAAGCATCAACCTCTAGCATCGTGAAGCATATCCCCCTTCGGCTTAAGAAACCAGATGCTCAGATAGCCGCTAATTGCTGCAAGGCTTCTTGATTGGCCGCGAACTCGCGTTGGCCACGGCGGTACCTCAACCAGCCACAGGAGTGGCACTTTTGAGTGTGATTCTGCTCGGAAGATATGAAGATAACAGCAACCAGAGCTGGCACGAAGATGTGGACGATTGCGGCATCCGAAATCCGAAAGCTGCAGTATACGAGCACCTTCAAACACTGTAAAATACAACGTGAGAGCGCCCTTTTGGGTCCACTTGGCCACGATCTTATGTATTCATTTGCTCAGCTCCGAATTGAAAGAAGCAAAAGAAAAATGAGTCAATAGCGCGAGAGCCGCCTCCGGAACGGTCGCGGGGGCGGGGCAGAGCTTGCCAGAAGAAGTCAAAGCTGCGTTTCCGCAGCCGTTCTTCGGCGCCGTGCCCACCGGCAGTGTCGGGGCAGACAGTGGACAGAAGCAAACGCGAACACACGAGGAGCGGAAGTGCACCGAGCAAGACGACCACGACAATATTCTTGGAAGATAAAAACCCAAACTAAGGCAAGGAGGGATGGTGCTGCAAGCTTATCCGGCCCACGCTGACTGGATGGTGAAGAAATGCATCTGCAACGCAACCAAGCATGCCCTGAATTACATTATTAAGATTATGAGAGAGTGTTGCAAGCCTTCTCGAAAATACCTCTTGCATTGTATATTCCTGGGTTTGCTGGAGGAAATGCGCTCCGACGCTTCCCTGCTCGAAGACTGCCAAGTATGGCAAGATTGAGCCCAGACCGCTGAGTGGAAAGAGACCGGTCGTTGCTGCGAAAAAAATATTCGGCCTGCTGGTGCTTAAGATTGTCAGTCGAGCCGTCGAGCCGCAAAAGACGGCAGATCCTCGCTTTCACGCCAAGCACTTGACAATATTGCCCCGTTGCTTCTCGAACGCGCAGGAATCTGAATCGCCGATCGGGCAAGGCCCACGCTCAGTTTCGCCGAAGACCCGCGTGTTGCCTTCAATCTTGAGTCAAGGCACTGCAGCGTCCTCGCCGTCGACGCCCGGTAGGGATCCTACATTCTGACAGACAGGTCGCTACAACTCTCTAGTCCAGCTGCGAGCTCAGCACCCAGGCCCTCCGATCAAGTTCACCATCAAAGGCGGGAAGTGTCTCGATGTGCCGTTCACAACATCAGGGGACTATGCTGAGGGTTAGTGATGCAGAGTCTACTACGCTGCGTGAGCGAGACTCGAAGCAACATGTCAGCCAGGAGGGGCCATGGGCAAATCCATGCCGAAAAGCAGCGCAAGCCTTATTCGAGCGTTTCGCAGAGGTGCAGTGGCACGATTGCGACGTCCTGCAGCCAGCGCCAGGTCAAGGGAAAGACGCGGATTCCAGCTCTTGCCCCGGGCATTGGCCAAGGACCTCAAGCTTTGCTCTTGCCAGCGAGGCCCTCCTTCAGAGCCCGGCCATCTCGGGTCTGCCCGTTCTTCGGCCAAGGGTCTGCATCCCAGCTAGCAGAGCTGGCAGAGCTAGCAGAAGCTTCCTCCGGCATGGCATCCTGCTTTTGTCACGCAGGCATGCAAGAGTGTTTATGCAACGGTGACACTAACAGCTACGCATTTCGTCTACTGACCTTTGGCGGCCAAAGTCCATGCAAGCAACACGGCACGTTGCAGTGTCGAAACACTTAACGGTAGGCATGATGTTTATGCACTCGAAATCATGCTGATGATGAAGACAGGCGGCGCTGTGGCCAAATCCACGCCGAAAGGCCGCGGCGCTTTCTGAGGGGAGTTATGCATAAGCCCGCGCGCTGCTGGCAACCTGGAAGCAACGCCGGTCCAGGTCAAGGCAAAGACGGGGATGCAGGCAGCTTTGTTGTGAGTTGAAGACATCTGAAGTGCCAAGAGTGGTAGGGCCGACCAGGCCCTCCTCCGGAGTCGAGCTCCAAGGGCTTTTCGGCGAAGGGGATGCTCGGTCTCGGCTGCGACCTGAACGGTGGATTTCAGCAAGCCGTGCACTCCATGCATGATGTCCATGAAGACTTGCTCAGCCAGGTGGGGCTTTGGGCAAGTCCACATCCAAAGGCGGCATGAGCGGACACAGGACACTCTTGACAGCACGGAAGTGAAGTCGGCCAGGGCAGGGGAAAGATCCGGATTCCGGCGGCTGCCTCGTTGTCTGACCTGGACTTGGATCCGAACTGCTCGCGTTCGCCTGCCAATCAGGCCCTCCTCCGGAGCCGAGCCACCTGGCCACGCCCTTCAGCCGCTTTTCGGCGCAGGGTCGTTTCCTGAGCTGCGCCTAACTCATATAAGCACTTCAGCGCACTGTAGATTTCTTGCAAACTCTCGTCGGCGGCTCAGGAGGGGCCATTGGCAAATCCACGCCGCAAGGCGCTATGGGGGCGCCAGAAGAGCCCGTGAAAAGTCGTGAAACAAGCGCACCTTGACATGGAGAGGTGGTCAAGAGCAAAACGACGGGGATTCCAGCTGCTGGCTCGGACGTGATAGCTGTGCGAACGGCTGCTTTGACTGAAGGTTGCCCTGTCTTCCAATGAGGCCCTCCAGAGCCATCTGCCCGCCTCGGTACACCTTTCAGCCGCTTCTCGGCAAAGGGCCTTTGCCTCAGATGAGTCTGGCTTGGGATCAAGAATCAGAGAATCTAACATGCTCGAGCACCTTGCATCACGTTGATGAAGACAGGCGGCGCTGTGGCCAAATCCACGCCGAAAGGCCGCGGCGCTTTCTGAGGGGAGTTATGCATAAGCCCGTGCGCTGCTGGCAACCTGGAAGCAACGCCGGTCCAGGTCAAGGCAAAGACGGGGATGCAGGCAGCTTTGTTGTGAGTTGAAGACATCTGAAGTGCCAAGAGTGGTAGGGCCGACCAGGCCCTCCTCCGGAGTCGAGCTCCAAGGGCTTTTCGGCGAAGGGGATGCTCGGTCTGGTTCCTCAGCCTGAGCACTGCAAACAGCTCGATCTAAAAAAGATCTACTTCCCCGCACGACTAGGTGGAGCAATGGGCACTCCTACGGGGAAAGGTCAGCCTTGTCCGGATGTGATTTTTCTGAGCTTTCGGCCTTCTTTTATAGCCCTTGCAAGGGAAAGATGCGGATTCCGGCTCCTGCCTCGTTTTCCGAGTCGTTCGCTTCGTCTCTGTGAGTCCTCGCGTCCGGTTGCCAACACCAGGCCCTCCTCCTCCTGCCGAGCCGAGCCATCCCGGTCCCTGTGCAGCCGGCCGATTTTCGGTAAGACCTCCTGGCGTTTGCCTCAGTGTGCCGCGACCTGACATGAATCAAGCACAGATCGCATGTCGGCATGCCTGTCGCAAAAAGTGGGGGTCTAAGCCCGATTCATCAACTTCTGGCGTTTCTCCCAACCAATCTTCTTTCAACTCCGGTGTCTTCTACTAATGTTTAGAGTTTTGGGGCTTTGGGTTTAGGGAATCCGCTGGGGCAAGTTGGAGGAAGCTTTCGGGAAAAGTTGAAAGAATCTTTTTGCGAACAAAGATTGACTAGCGACTAGATGTCTGCATCCGGCAAAGGGGCAGGAGCCACCTACCACTAAGACGATGACCACGACAAGCTTTGACTCAACTCTTGCTAAGTAGTCCTACGACAAGATGCGACGCTCGATTGCTGAATGACGATTTGAATGTGCTGATTCAGGAATCTCTTTGCAGGGATGCCAGCAGATAGTCTGGATTCGAGCTTCGATCGGAAAGTTTATGGATAGGGTCTGAAAGGTGACCAGAAGTATCAGGGAAGGCACTCCTGTCATTTGTGACTCCCTAGGGTTTTGGGATATTTTTGAACGTTTGTCTTCAGGAACCTTGTTGTCCAACAGCCGACCAGGGAGTCACAAATGACAGGTGGTTCAACGGCTGAAAATGGAGACCCTTCCAGGGTTTTGGTACATGCCAGCACATGCACCGATTGCTTTCATGTTTGAAACGGAAAACTGGGAGTCACAAATGACTGTAGTCAGTTTGCCCAAATCTGCAATATTTCCTAGGCGCGGTGCTCATTTTTAAGAAATCTTGGTTTTCCCTGGGTTTGGTGCATTTTCTCGCTGAAAATGCAGTTTTTCCTAGGCTTCGTGCACTTTCGCACGAAAGTAGTGTTTTTCCCTAGGAGAGGTGTATTTTTCGCACAATGCACAACCATATGCCTGCTTCCAATTCAGAATTATATATATATATATATATATCATATATAATATTATATAGTATATATTATATAACCGATAATATATACTATATAATATTATATATGATATATATATATATATATATATGGTCCCCCCCCCCCCCCCAGGACCTACCTCCAAACCCGTCTGTCTACATATATGATACCACACTTCTTTACCCATGCACACACATACATACACACACACGCACACACATGCAACATGGAATAGGTGTTTGAAGAATCGTGTATACGAACATGACTATACCAGAGGCCCGGCTGCAGTAAAACCCGCATTAAAAAATTAAATTTTAATGCAACCCGGCCCGTGGAACCAAGAACCAAGAACCAAGATTCTCAGGAGTCTTGAATCCTGAATCTTGGTTCCACGGGCACCGGCCGGGCTGCATTAAAACCCGCATTAAAAAATTAAATTTTAATGCAACCCGGCCCGTGGAACCAAGAACCAAGAACCAAGATTCCCAGGAGTCTTGAACCCTGAATCTTGGTTCCACGGGCACCGGCCGGGCTGCATTAAAATCTGCATTAAAAAATTAAAATTTAATGCACCGTGGCCGGTGGAACCAAGAACCAAGAACCAAGATGCCCAGGAGTCTTGATTCTTGGATCTTGGTTCCGCGGGCACTGGTCGGGCTGCATTAAATCTGCATTAAAAAAATTAGATTTAATGCACCCAGGCCCGTGGAACCAAGAACCAAGAACCAAGATGCCCAGGAGTCTTGATTCTTGGATCTTGGTTCCGCGGGCACTGGTCGGGCTGCATTAAATCTGCATTAAAAAATTAAATTTCAATGCACCCAGGCCCGTGGAACCAAGATTCAGGATTCAAGACTCCTGGGAATCTTGGTTCTTGGTTCTTGGTTCCACGGGCCAGGCTGCATTAAAATTTAATTTTTTAATGCAAATTTTAATGCAACCCGGCCGGTGACCGTGGAACCAAGATTCAGGATTCAAGACTCCTGGGAATTGATTACCTTCTGTAGCATGGCCTGGTTGGTTTGGGTCTAGAAGGGTCTATTCTTGAGGCACCACTTCATCATTCTGTAGCCAGGGCTTAAGCTGAGTTTCTCTTTGAGAACCAGCTATTCAGCTTCTTTGCCTGCCCCAGGGGTTTTTGTTCCTCTGTGATGGCTGAACAATGGGCTAGGCTTATTTCTGAGGAGCTCTGGCTTGCTCTTTCAGCTGCTGGCGTCGAGGATGCATCTGATCTTGCTTATTTGTTTGTGTCAGAGGATGAAGCCAGGGAATGGGCGGTTCTTCAGCAGCGATCTTGTGATGCGGATAACTTTGTGGCTGCCTGGAGTATTGTGAGACGTCTGGTCGCTGAAGATAGATCGGTCGTGGATCGCATTCTGGCTGCCGAGGTGGCTCGTAGGCGGGCCCTGCCTAAGGCTAGACCTTCCGTGTCGATCGTTCCTGCTGAGACCGTTCCCTTGGCTAAACGACGCCGAGCAATCGTTACAGACAGCTTATCGGGCCTCGAGGGCGTCAGGGTTCTGGAGTACAATGGCCAGTCCAGCTGGGGCCTCAACCCCAATGTGTCTCCTGAACGCGACAGGCTCTGGGATCTTTGGGTGTTGTCTGGTCTAGATAACTTGCGGTACCAAGAGATTGCTCGCAAAAACCACAACGTTCCGCCACCTGATCAGTGCCCCCGGGGCTGGGTTGAGTGCAAGTTTGAGAAGTTTTCCGATGAGCAGTTGAAGGCCCCTCTGCGTGCTTGGGCTAGGTGGGACGAGTGGCGCGCTGCCCACTGCCCTGCAGTTTCTGCCGTGCGTCCCGATGCCATTTCGTTCTTTAACTTCATTGACCATGTGGCGCAGGGGGGACCAACGGCTGCTCGCTCCGTGTGGCACCAGCTATCCTTCTTGCGGCTGCGGCTGGGGCTTGATTTGCCCCTTGACGACTTGAAGGATTACGTCATGGGCAAGGCGCGAGGAAGGCCGGTCACGCAGGCTCGCGTCGTCGAGCCGGCTTTTGTTGTCGGCTTGCTCTTGGCACTGGTTCGCTCTGCGGGTCCGGGCAAGATTATTTTGCAGACCATTTGCATGGCGCTCTTTTCTTGCATTCGTTGGAGGCACCTTCAGAGGTCGTATTTCACTCATTCAGATGGTACCTTGCTTCATGCTCACTGTATTCAGGGCAAGCGCAGGGTTCAAGGCACTCGGCCTCCACAGCTGGACAGTTCCTTTGCTCGAAGGGCTGTGCGCAGGCTTGCCGGGGATCGCTTCATCCCCAGGCTGGGCCCAGGGCCTTGATGAGCTGTATGCCGAGTTAGCTCCCAGGATTTCCGTGGGCATGCAGCCTTTTCTTATCCCGCGGTTGCACCGGGACGCTTCGGGGCACTATGCGTCAGGGGCCGTTCTGTGTCAGCCTATGGGATACAGAGCCTTTATTGAGGCTTTTCGTGGTTTCGTGTGCCAGCTGGGAGACGGGGCGGACGCGGACACTTTTACTTTCAACTCGCTTCGTCGCTTTATGAGCACACTGGCTAATTTCCTTCACCTTGATCCTCAGCAGGCTCAGGCCATTGGGCATTGGCAGGAGATTCCCCATGGGGCTGAGGCACCTACTGGCAGCTCGTTGGCATCCATGAGGGCTCGCTTTCCGATGTCAGAGCGGTACTCTGGGGTGAGGCATCAAGTGGCTGGCAGGGTACAGTTAGCTTGCTTGGCTATTTTCTTTGACATGTTGCGGCGATCGCTTCCTTCTCCGCTTCCGGACAGTTGGCGTAGCAGCACGCTTACGTGGGCCATGCTGGAAAGAGTCAGGCCGTCTGCTGATCAGGTGGCTGTGCTGCTCAGGAACTTGGGGGCCTTTACCGAACCGGGGGTCGCCGATTCTTCTTGGGCTAGTGCAGATATTTATGCGCAGCTTGGTGACCCACTCGACGAGCCAGGAAGACCGCGGGTCGGGCGAGCCCGTGGGAAGGCTGGCCGTCATCACCATTCTTCTTCTAGGTCGCGTGGCAAAGGACTCGTGGCCGATCGTCTGGAGGTTCCTGCACGCGCTGTTGCAGCGGAGCCGGCCGACTTAGTGGTTGCCGAGGGGGGTGCGGTGTCATCTTCTGACGTCTCTATCTCTTCGGAGGAGGGCGTTCCGGAGGGGCACTCGCGCCTGCCAAATTACTTGTTGGTGGCAGAGCTCAGATGGTTTGTGACCCGCAGGAGCAAGTTGTGCCACATTGTTCAAGAGGAGTCGGATGGCCTCCTTGTTCCTTGGTGCCGTGGCTCAGCTTTCTCAGGCTCGCCGGCTGAGGAGGGGACCAATCCATGCTCTCAGTCCCTCCCCATTTGCTTGGGATGCCAGCGTAGGATGCCTGCCGATACACGGGCGGCTCTTCTGTTGGGTCTCGATGATAAGCCCGCCACTTCCCCCTCTGAGGAGTCGGATGTGGATTGAGGCAGGTCGGCTCTGACAAAATTGGCGAGCTTCCGTTTCTGCAGTCTGCTAATAGCTGTGAGATCGTTGTCCCGCCAGCGCCCCGTTAGGCCAGGTGTCCGGTAGGGCAGTGCATTCCATGCTGACTTGAGTTGGGGGCAGGTCCTGTTGTGATGCTTCGGCTTAGGGGCTTAGCCTTGCTTTCCGAGTAGTCCCGTAGCACTCCTGGTGGCATCGATCATGAACTTTGAGCACTTGTCCCCGGCAGAGCTTGCTTCGTGGGTGGCGGGGTTGTCTCCGGAGGTTAGACGCAGGATCCTGAGTGCGCTTTTGGCTTTCGAGGCGGCTTCTTCGTCGACTACATCACCACCTCCGGCTCCAGCTCAATCGCGACCTCGTCACCAGGACCGCCGGCTACCGCGTTGCACTGTGGCGTGCCCTAATGCTGGTGTGGGCCTGGCTTTCTGTCGAGGGGTTTGTGGTCGTAGACCTAAGCCCCACAGGAGGAGGCCCCACCGTAGGCACTTTTGCAATCGTTGCCACCAGCATGGATATGGGGCTTACTCCGATTCGGACGATCAGGGTCTCCCTCGGCTGTTGGATGGCGACGACGAGGATGATTGATGGTGCCTGAAGTCCTATATATGATCTTTATCCACGCGACCTGACCTGAGTGCCGGCATGCGCCCACTAGGTTACGATTCGAATGGCTGTGGCACAAATGCTTGGTACTTGGGGATCGGGTTGCTGTTGCGTGCATTGCTGGACCTGCAGCATGTTTGCAGCTTGTGTGCTTAAGATCTTTTTTCTCTCGAGTAGTCCTTTGAGGCTGTCTTTTGGTAGTCGGGTGATGGCTGCCTCGGCCGCGCCTTTGATTCAGGTTCATGCGACTGACGGGGGCTTGGCTTCATGTTTGGGCATCGCCCGTGTCAAGGCAGAGCTGGCCACCTTCATGAAGGACACGCTGAAGATGGAGTCGCTTCAGGATTTCTTTTTCTATGTCGCCAAGGATGCCTGGGAAGCCGAGCTGGATACTAAGGTGGTGACCCCAGCCGTCACTGCTACAGTCATCACAGAAGGAATGAAGGCTATCCAGCTGGCTCGTGTTCGCATGGCGTGGCAATCCGCGGCAAAGCTTCAGGATGTGGTTGAAACTCAGGCCGCGGGCTCTGGTTCGGCAGATGACCCTTTGCCTGAGACGGCTCGCCAGCTCCTGGACCAACGTTGGAAGAAGCGCTACCCTGATTTCGTTCTTGACCCGGCGCTCATGGGGGCTTCTGCGATCATTCACCGTTTGTATCGGGAGTGGGTCCAGGGTCAGCCGACTACCGTCATCGACCTCCAGAAGATGCGGACAGCTTTGGCCGAGCGCTTCCAGGGCGATAAGCTTCAGATTGCGCTGGGCGATGCGACGCTGACAGTCACGGATTATGCATCCACCGGGTCGCGAGTTCAGTTTCGGAGCGTGTCGCACTTCTACTTGCTGCATAGAACCTTGACGAATTGCTGGGCTTATGTTGGCAGTGGCGAGGTCGAGTCAAAGAATCGTCCGGGCACGCAGGTTGTCCAGATGTCCTTTCAGCAGGCGCTTGGGTATTCGGACACGATCCTTCGCAAGGCCGTTGATGTTCCTGAGCCGTCGCAGTTGGTGTGGATGTCACGCAACGATTCTCTCACGAGGTCCAGGATGGCTGCTCACATGATGCAAGGGTGGCCGCCTGGAGAAGCTTTGGAGCGAGCCTTGGCCGAGACGGTGGAATGGGCAATGCTCCCGGCTCTGGGCGAGTCCGAGCTTCGCGGGCCTTCTCATTCTCCCCTGGATGCTTTGGGGCGAGAGCCGAGTACCAAGAGGACTTCCGATGGTATGCCGTCGGAGGAGGCGCTTCCTCGGAAGAAGATCACCGTCGCGGGCTCTCCATCCAAGCCAGGCAATGCTAAGGCCAGACAGCAGACGGTCACCACCCTTAAAGGGAACAAGACGTTGTGCAAGGCTTGGAATGACGATCGCCACTGCCAACGAGCAAAGGCCGGTGAGCAGTGTCCGGATGGCTGGCATCTTTGCGATGTCAAGCTGCCCTCAGGTCGCGGTTGTGGAGGAAAGCATCGGCGCGATCAGTGCCCAAATGTTTGATGGGGGCGCCCTGAGGATCCTCAGAGTTCTCTTCAGCAAGCAGAGCATTCTGGGGACACTGGTGCCGTTTCCGATCGTCAGCTACTTATGGGCCAACTGGCTTCGGGAGTCGTGGGGTTGGCATCGCGACGAGTCATCCAGCGTGGGGGCTCTGTTGAAAAAGACGGGCAACTGCAGGCTTTTCGCTATTGCAATCCCTCTGATGTTCATGCTAGGCTTGAGGCATCTAAGCCCCTAGCCTGGCGGGGTCGAGGAGATTTGCCTTCCTTCCCGTGGTCTGCTTTGGGTACATGGCTAGTGATTGATCTGTGGAGTGGTATGGCTGGCACTTTGTTCGCATGCATGTCGCTCGGACTTCGTGTGTATGCTATCTCCGTTGAACAGGACCATTTGGCCGCGGAGAGGACAGCCAGGAGCTTCCCGAACGTGATTTCGCTGCAGTTCGTCGAGGATTTTCGTGGTTCGATGATTCGAGGGTTCCTCAAGCGTCGGTCTGTGGAGGGAGTTATTGTTGGAGGTGGAAGCCCGTGTCAGGGCAACTCCAGCTTGAATCGCCACAGACGGGGTTTGGGGGACTCGCGCTCTTGTCAGCCCGAGGAACTCGCCCGCATCTACAACGAGATCATGTCCCTGGACGAGGTGCATGGGCTGAAAGTTCGCACGTTTTTGGAGAATGTGGCTAGCAGTCCTCGAGCCGTCGTTCGGTACTACAACCAACTTATGGAAACCAAGCCTTTGCTCGTTCGTGCCGCTCAGTTTGGATGGGTCCAACGTGATCGCCTCTTCTGGTTGGGATCGCTGGGAGATTTATCGCGTGTTCGGTTGCCTCCAGAGGCCAGGGTCGAGGTTACTGATTTGGGCTGGTCGCTCACCGTCAAGGTCACTTAGCCTGTGCCCTCCAGTGTCCACTTGGAGCGTGGGTTCAGTCTGCACATTGACCCCAAAGCCAACCTCCTGGACGCTGCATTGCCTCGGCTGTTCACGTTCACCACTGAGTTCGCACACCCCTTGGACTCAGACCACGCTGCCTCTGCTCAGGCAGTTGCTCGTTTCCAAAAAGATGCATGCCGCTTTCCTGTGGAAGCGTACGAGGACATTTCATTGGCATGGCGGCAGGGGGAATGGCGCACTCTCACGCCATCCGAGCGCGCTTCCATACATTGTATCCCGCCGGATGCCGTGGGGACCAGCACTCCCCATCACTTGCCACAGGAGCAGCGAACTAAAGTTCGCAATTCTTGGATTGGGAACGGATTTCACATCCCCTGCGCCACCCTCATCATCTTCATGTTGGTCTCGGAGGCTTCAGCGGTTCCTTCGCCCATGCAGTGTGTCTTTGAACAGCACCTGCGGGGATCCCTTCCTGGCTCCCCCTTTGATGATTCAGCACTTCGGCGTTCCCAGGGCAACGCACCGTGGACAATGTGGTCTCGGATGTTCAGGCTATCCTGGCGAGCTTTCCGGGGTGTTCGGAGGCGCCGTGGTCAAGAGTTCGCAAACGTCTTCGGGGTCACTCGATACACCCGTTGTTCTCCTTCAAGCTCTTCTTGTGGCATCGGGGTCTAAATGAAGAGACTGAGGGCCCTTCTTGGGTAGGTCAGCGCAATCGGGCGCTCCTCCAAGCAGCCGTGGGGAAACAGCGTGCGGCAGGTGACTCCAGGAAAGGGCTCGATCATCTTCTTCCCCCGGGACTCAGCAAGCATGAACACATCCATGCGGCGTGTGGTCTTAAGTCTCCCTTCGACGTGGATGGTGCAGTTGACCCTGACTTGGAGTTTGCGGCCTGGGCCTTGGGGGTTTGGGGTCCTCTTCTACCGGCGTGGCAGGATTCTGTTCGGAAGTGCCTCCATCGATTGGTCAAGGCCTTTCAGCCGGTTGAGGATTTCCTTATGAGTGCATCCCCTGTTGCTGGCTTGTCGACTCGCTCTCCCTTGGCGTTGGCAGTGTTCACGGTTCTGCTTGATTGGCCTGACACTTCTCAACCTTTGCGTTACCTCACTGGTTTCAAGGCGGTCGGAGCCATTGAACCGACGGGAGTTTTTCGCGAGATCCCTCACACAGAACACGTGTCACAAGATGAGTTTCTTGGCGAGGCCGCCATGGAGTTCATACATGATCTTGTTCATCGTGTTCCTTCTCCCGATGCACAGGCTATCTGGGATCTCACCAAGGAGGAGTGTGACAAAGGCTGGTGTTCTGGTCCTTTCTCGGTGGCTCAATTGGATCAACAGTTTGGGCAAGGACAGTGGCGACCAGTGCCACGTTTCCTCGTTACCCAGGCTAGTGGGAAGCAGCGTTTGATTGACGATGAAGGGATCCCACAATGCTGCCACTGACATGGAAGAAACGATCTACACCATAGGCATTGACAGCTTGCCAGTTTATGCTCGTCGGCTCGCTCAGGTGGTTCTTCACTTTTGGGGTGAGCTACCTGATTGGTTCCTGCCCACGGCTTGCATCATGGATTTGCCTGAGGCTTATCGCGGGTGCCCCGTTGAGCCTCAACAGCGTGCTTTCACGATTGCCGCCACCTTTGACCCGGAAGGCAGGCGTTGGTGTTTCTGGGTGTACACTGGACTCTTGTATGGGTTGTCATCGGCTGTACTCTCCTTCAACAGACTCCCTACGCTGTTGGTGGCGGTGGCGCGTAGGCTGATTGCCCTCGGATGTGGCGCATACTTTGATGATCTCTTCGATATCGCAGTTCGATGCATCGCTCGTTCTAGCCAGGACGCGCTGTTGCACGTACTGGCGCTGGCTGGGGCTCCTCCCGCGCCAGACAAGACTCAACCCCCTAGAGCCAATTTCGGTTACCTCGGGGCTGCATTTGACTTCTCTTCCATCAAAGAAGATGGCATCATCACATGTGGTCCTACTTCGGCGTCTTTGCAGAAATTGCAGGACTCAGTAGCCGCAGTTGCAGAATCGGGGCAGCTCTCACCGGCCGTTGCCTCTAAGTTGCGCGGACAGGCGGGATGGACAGGGTCTTTACTTCATGGTAAGTGTGGCCGTCTGGCTTTGAGATTCCTCAAGCAGCGGCAGTATGCCACGGATGGAGACCGCACGGTAACACCCAGTCAACTTCAGGAGTTACGACTACTTGTGGCTATCTCGCAGGAGGCGCCGGTGAAGTACATTGACATTCTTCAGCCTCCTCGGCAACCAGTCGTTGTGTACTCCGATGCCAGCTACGAATCGGGGGTAGCGAAGTGTGGTTGGGTTGTTTTCAGTCCGCATTGTCGTCCCGTGGGCCAGGCCTTGACTGTGCCGCCGGAGTGGATCGCTAGTTGGGAACCTCGTGAAACTCAGATTTTCGCGGCGGAGGCTTTTTGTTCTCTGCTCGTTCCTTTCAACCTGCCCCACCTCTTCCGTGGCCAGGACATTATTTGGTTCATTGACAACGAGGCCGCGGCGGCAGCGGTCATCCGTGGCAGTAGCGGGTCCATTGACGTTGACATGATCGTTCAGTTATCCGCGCTGTTCCTCCTTCGTCTTAATGCTCGTCTTTGGGTGGAATGGATTAATTCTGACGCTAACTGCTCCGATGGTTTGTCTCGCGACGGAGTTCATGATGAGTGGACACTTGATCAAGGTTGGGATCTCTCCGTGGCTCAGCTCCCCAGTCCAGCCATTCACGAAACATTGGGGACATTGGGACTCGGTTTCGATTGTCCATTTCGTGTTACATAACATATGTCCACGATCGGCATCGATTTGATCCAATGTACACTCTAAAGTGTACCATTGTGAGCTTCGAGTTTCGTGCCTGCCCGAGAAGAGAAAATGAAGCTTCTGCATTCGAAGGTGTGTGCCGTAGAGAATTGATTACCTTCTGTAGCATGGCCTGGTTGGTTTGGGTCTAGAAGGGTCTATTCTTGAGGCACCACTTCATCATTCTGTAGCCAGGGCTTAAGCTGAGTTTCTCTTTGAGAACCAGCTATTCAGCTTCTTTGCCCGCCCGCCCACCCTTCTCTTCTACGACGGGGTGTGGCTGTACTCTTGGTGATTCTTCGTCACTTTGAGTCCACTGGGCTCACATGGAAGAGTCGCCCAGACCTACGTCCGGCCCGTGGGTTTCCGGGTGTCCTCCTACCCCGGGATGGGACTCGGTTTCGATTGTCCATTTCGTGTTACATAACATATGTCCACGATCGGCATCGATTTGATCCAATGTACACTCTAAAGTGTACCATTGTGAGCTTCGAGTTTCGTGCCTGCCCGAGAAGAGAAAAGGAAGCTTCTGCATTCGAAGGTGTGTGCCGTAGAGAATCTTGGTTCTTGGTTCCACGGGCCGGGTTGCATTAAAATTTAATTTTTTAATGCAAATTTTAATGCAACCCGGCCGGTGACCGTGGAACCAAGATTCAGGATTCAAGACTCCTGGGAATCTTGGTTCTTGGTTCTTGGTTCCACGGGCCAGGCTGCATTAAAAATTATTTTTTTAATGCGCGTTTTAATGCAGCCAGGTCGCTGGAAACCATATAAATATTCACTAAATATATCGGCTTGCTCTTTTATGTGCCACATGGCCAGTCCTGCAGTGAAGATTTGCGAGCGGATTGCTGTGCTTGACAGTTTGATCGCATGGCAACAGATGTGTGATGATCCAAGCTGCAGCTAATCAAAATCAAGTGATCTTGTACTTACAGCTCCTGTCCTGTCCTTGCGAGCATGTCGGCGCATTCCTCGTTGGTAAACATCGAAGGCACCATGAGCTTGGACGCGGCTGGTACGGCGACCATCCGCTTGACCAAAACGAGTCCTACATCATCAAATTCATGTCCATCCGCAACGACAACATCGGCGTCCAAAGGACTGGATCTGTTTCCGGTTGACAAGCCACCATCTTCGGAATTCATTCTGGGTGGCATAGAGAACAATGCCTTCGAGTTCCATCCTTCCAAACGGAATCTTTCCTCGCGCCAAGTCTACGTTATGCTGTACAACATCCAGGGCAGGCTTGGTCTCATGAAGGGAATGGACGGCGGATGGTCGATCACCGCGAGCAAGCAGCTGTTAGACATGCTAAAAAAGGCTAAGAACCGAAGCAATCAAGCGACATCGTCTTCTTCGGCACCATTGGCGATTGGAGATAAAGACCAAGTGATGGCGATTATGGACCAAGAGGGAAAAAACGACGAGGACAAGGAGACTGTCAAAGCCACGTCCGACAGCTCATCGGATGATGGTGAAAGCAACTGGGGCGACACCAGCTCAGACGAGGCTAGCAAGAATAGCGGCAGCGCAAGCACGGCATCCACGCCATCCCCAGTGGATCTGAGCACGTGGACCTCCGATTGGCACGACACCTACGTTTGTGCTCTGGACCTGGTGACCCCACGGATGGTCGAGAACAGTCCAAAGAAAAAGCGTATCATGAACAAGGTCCTCCGCACGATCAAGAAGGCGAAGAACAAGTTCGAGAGCCTATGAGTGTTTCACCGCATCAACATATCTTTGTTTCGGGTTAAGTCGTTTAGTAGCACGTCTGTAGTTGCAATACTACACATAGGGCCCCTACTTGCTTTCAGTTATATGGTTTTATATATAGTATGCATATCGATGGTTTCGATTTCTGTGGTTGATTGTATCCCCAACATATCTTCCTTTAGGGCTAAGTCGTTTAGTAACGAGTTTGTAGTTGGAATACCACATACAGGGTGTGCTACTTGCTTTCAGTATACGGTTTTGTATATCTGGCACAGATTTTGCTTCCTTGGAAGGATGAAAGTAGAGCAGTCACGTCGTTCATCGACTTGCTGTGCGCCTCACAAAAGATGCGTGCAACGTTTGCTTCATGGCAGTGTATGTGAGTGGCTATGCGCTTGTACATTATGCCGTATGAATACTTGATATTCTGTGACATATCAGTATTGAAGATATCACTGCTCGAGGAAAACGGTACCAAGTCATAGTTCCGTAGTCACAATGTCATCCCTCTTCGACACTATCCTGACACGCGTGGGCGGGAAGGATTGGAATTACGACTCCTTGGCAGTGCCACAATGCGGCATGGTGAAGGCCGAAGATCTCGAGGAGCCGATCACATTGCAGCAGTTTCTTCAGGAGGCATGCCGCCGCCCAGACGAGGCCAAGGTCACCACGCTTTTGTTCGATGTGCACAACAACGTCCCCGAGTTCGGTGGCTTCGCACGCATTGGCGAGCAAGTGCAGCGCTCTGAACTTGATCAACTTCCACTTCCATTAGAGGTCTCTCAAGCTCTTCCCAAAGGAGCTAAGATGGGATTGATAATGGACAACCACCAGGACGGGTCCATGAACGTTGTCAAGATTTTCCACTTCTCAGAGAAGATCGCCATTAACCATGCGTTGAAGCTTTGTTCCGGGGATGCTTACGTCCCAGTGTACAGACCTGGTCCCTGGGCTGTCCGGAAGACTATGCAATTCCTTCTTCAATGTCTGCCAGGGTATCGTGTTCTATGGAACAACGTCGGCCAGAAACCCACCAACCTGCGGAAGGCTCAATCAGCTCAATGGGCGCCCGAAGATGAAGCTCTACGACATGGGATTGATTACATCAATGCCAATGCACCAGAGGGCGATGCACTCAATGAGCAGACCTTTTGGATCCTTTGCAGCATCCGGGAAGGCTCTGACACTCCGATAGCAGGATGGCCGGAAGCCAAAGTCCGAGACATGTGCAGAAACAAGTCTCGGGGAATGGCCGGGGCTCAGCCAAACTATGATTACCCTTTGCATACGTACAGCTTGAAGGGCTTCCTGTCTGAGTTCCTGTTGCCACTCCTATACCCCCTACTTGTCTTGCACGGCGTGATGATGATAGGGTGGCCGGGTGTGGGAAAGACACCCGCCCTGATTGTCATGCTGCTGGCGATCGCTCGGCATCACATCGGCAGGTTGGGTCTGGTGGAAAAACCGTCATGGAGACGAGCGAAGTCATTGGATAACTTCAGGCACCGTGCCCCACAGATCCACGACGGTGTGTTCCTCGATGATCCGAGTCGTGAGAGGCTTGACATGGCTGATCTCAAGTCGTTCATGACGGCAGAGGAAGATCAAACATGTTCCGGGCGATACAACGATGTGAAGCTGAGCCGTGGCCAAGTTCGCGCTTATGCTGGCAATCATCTCACTTTCGAGGACGAGCCTCAGTTCGACGACCGCACCACCATCACTCCGGAAGAGATCCTGAAGATGTTGGGGAAGACGTTCCCAGGCGAGAAAGAAGCCGACGTGATGGCTGTCCTCAAGAGATGTATCGTTTTCGTGTTCGGGAAGAATGCACTCTATTTGCGCCTTCCATCCCAACACAGCGATGGCATAGTTCATCGCATCGTTGCGGAGGATGTACACTTGGACGTGTTGGCCCCCCATGACAAGTACCTCCTGTCCGAGTACAAGACTGGAAACATCAAGATCAAAGGCAGCGACTTTGAGGACTCCATTGCCCGCGAACAGAACATGATACATAATTCCTTCATGAATATGTCTGAGATGGGGCCGAAGGAGTACATCGATCACTGCGCGAAGAAGGTCCAGGAGCGTATCTGCCCAACACCGACACCAGCCAGGCGTGTGCGACACCTACCTAGTTCTTCCTCCTCCCCGGAAGACAGCGCCATTCCTCCCACGGTGCCCTTTTCGGTGCAGCTCGCAACACCTGATCAGCCACGCAAGCGACTATTGAACTCTAGCGTCTTCCGCTACCCGTCTCCTACCAGACGAACGCGGGGGAAAACTATGCCGCCGCCCCGGCCGGACACACCAGCAGGCAGCGCACTTGAGACATCGGCAGCATCAGCGGCATCACCGTCTGGTCTTCCTGCAGTTGCACCTTCTTCCCCTCCTCAAGATTGTGTACGGAACGAGAGCCAGGATGCAGGTGAAAATGCAAAGGACCCATCAGGTGACGAGATGGACGTGGCAGAGGATTTCCAGGGGGACGAAGAAGCCGCCCAACACCTTGGTCTCTCTGAGTAGCTCGCGAGTAGTTTCTAGCTTGGTGAAGAGAGTGTATCTGCGTTTGAACGTATCTCATATAGCTCTGTCTTGTGCAAAATCCTCATGTCCTTAAACAGGTTACTGCTGCAGGTCACACTCATTTTGACAAGCCCAGCAGAGCCGGAGGCACATGGCTGAGTCCATTTGTTGCCGATTTCCATGCTCCCGCGCAAGTCGGCTAATTCGTAAGCGTGTTCCAGATGTCGTCACATCTTGCACAAAGCAACAAAGTATTATCGTCTTGTAGTGTGACTGTAGTTCTCTGAGTGATACTGCTTCAGCGTATCAGCACATGGGACATACGCGAGCACCTACATGTATTTGCCTCTCTGTCGTCATTGCTGGGCCAGAAGGGTTTTGTAGCAGCGCCGTTTCGTCCAAGTCCAGTTGACCCGCAATCCTTGCATCATGGCGGTCCGGCGCTTCAGTGTGGTGGTTCCTAAAAGAGGGGTACAAAGGCGCGCCCAGAAAAAGCCTGCCACTAAGAAGCCAGCCGCCTACACAAAGGTTGACTACGTCCGGGAGAAGACGGCTGTGGGGAGTCGCGGCGTTCGCAAAGAGCAAATGAAGTCAAAAAGGTCACTGCCCGAACTCCTGAAGGCATCGGACGATGAGATCATTGAGATGCTAGTCGCAGATGGCATGTTGCCCGATTGGACCGGCAAGCAGTGTCCCCGCTGCGAGAAGGGACGATTGTCGAAGCTCCTTCAGCGTCCCGGCAGATGTGGTCTCAGGCATCGATGCAATCGAAAGCATTGCCAGATGTACATGTCCCCGACACATCTACATCCGTGGTTTACGGATGGCAATGGCGCAGCAGCTACACCTTTACAAACCCAGGCGGCAGTCTTGTTGATGAAGCTGCAGAACATCAGCCTTCCTTCCACATGTCAAATGCTTGCAGTGAACCACAAGCTGGCTGAGGACATGTCCACCCGCCTCATGTATGCGAGACAAGACTATGTCAAAGCGTACCAACCCAAGATCCAGCTGGGGTCGAAGAAGGGTGACTTCAGGTATGTGAAGTACTGGGTCGATGTCGAGGGGGACGAAGCCAGCTTCACCAAGTCCAACATGCTGGGCGTGGACCCTGAGGTGGATCCCAAGAAGCCAGTGCGCTGGGAACAGTGGTTGGGGCTAGTCCAGCGAGGGCGGCCCGCATCCTTGATTTTGGAGCGATTGAATCCTCCGCCCTCGGAGGTTAGAGCACCGGGTCCTGGAGCTGTACGTAAGGTCGAGTGGATGCCGCTGGCCAAGAAGCACCTGCAGGGCAACCACATCATCTTTCACACTGATGCCGCACGCAGTTACACTGCGAAGGTGGACCAAGTGTTACACGACAACGTCGTCCACGCCAAGAAGCGGAAGGTTATCGACGGCAAGGTCACATGGATTAAGCCGAACTACGTCAAGGTCGTCTCGCACAAACTCCCAGCCACCAGCAAAACCGTTCGAGTGAAGGCGGGAACGCAAATCATTGACAGGGCATGGAGATACATGAAGGATCGGATCGTGCTCAACCAGATCCTTAGAACGATGTTAGTATGATTTATTTTTATCTTCGTTTGTATGACTTATATTTCCGCTTTGCTTCGGACACTATATGAAATCCCAGGAACGTCCGAGCCGGATCCAAGTTTCTGCGTGCCCAAATCCAGGCAGCCCAATACCAGTATTGGTTCAAGAACGAGGACCCCTGGACCAAGGCCTGTGATCTCGTGACTTTCAAGATGGAGAAGATGATGAAGAAGTGCTGAGGTCATCGAGTGTGGGTTTTCGGGTGCAGATGTTTTAGCGACATCTACGAGGCACATCGAGTGTGGGTTTCGGGGGCAGATATCTTAGCGACATCTGCGCGGCACATTCGCTCTGACGAATGTGTGTACGGACACGAGGATGCGATGGAAAAGAGTTCCTACATCTGCACGCTATGGAGGCAGTCGCTACATCAACCCATATCACATCGTATTTAGTTTCCTCTCACATTATCGTACCTCGTGACGAGGAACGAGTTACGACTATGTGTGCTAGCTTACCTATTACTACTCGAAGCTATCGAAGGTAGCTTCGCTAGAAACGAAGTTTCGTTCGCTATCGTCGCTCGCAGGAGAGTTGCCTCTGACATGCGAAGACAGGATAGCTGTGACTTGGAATGGCTACGACGGTGTGTGACCGTGGCCATTCTGGATCAAGTCCCCCATCAGGGGGGGTAATTTTGAAGTAGTGGGGGATAGAAGGGGAACTTGGCTATTCAGCCAAGCGAGAATGGCCTCCCCGCGCTCCCCTTCTGCTTCGCAGACGGCTAGCCCACAGTCTCCAGCTACTACGGTGATTCCGGCTAGTCCTGGAGGCGAGGAGCCAGGGAGTCCAACCGTCTTGCCCACGGCTGTGCCGGAAGAGCAGGGCGTTGGACCGGCTACCCCCTCCGGAGGGATAGGGAGCCCCATCGGACTTCCGTCCTTGCGGGATAGCGCTCTTGTGCAGAAGCGTGCGGTGCTGGATAGATGCCATGAGCATCTGGCGTCGCGGGGCTTCGGTGTGCTCGAGCTGGCTACCCTCGGCCTAGAGGACGCGGAGGATATTGGGCACCAAGTGGCCGAGGAGCTGGGCGTTGGCTACGACGAGTACATCGGCGACTCGATCTACCTGTGGATACAAGAGGCCCGGGAAGCTCGGGACCTGGTGGAGAGAACGTCGGGATACAGGGCGACTTCGCTGGCGTGGGTTAACCTCAGCAAGCGGCCGGCGATCGAAGGCATCGACCTTCAGGAGGATAGCGAGCCGGAGCCCCCGAAAGGGGATAGGCAGAAGCGCTTGGTCAACGAGGGCTCCCTGGCGCAGGCTAGGGAAGAGAGGCTACAAGCAACCTGGGCTATTAAGCTCAAGGAAGAGCTAGAATTGTGCGAGGCGCCGGTGCTGAAGAAGCTACAGGGGTGCCTGGACCCGGATAGAGCAGTGTTGGCGCTAGCGGGGAAAACCCGGGCTAGCACTCTCAAGCGCTACGTCTCGATACACGTGAGATGGCGGCTATGGCTACGGGAGGCTAAGAGTGGACGCCCCCCTGGGCTACCGGCCGACCTGCCCGACTACATCATGGCTAGGGGCGACGAGCCCTGCGGGCGAACGGTCCCCGAGGCGATCCTCAAGGCCATCAGCTGGATAGAGAGGGTCGCGGAATGGGCGACCGAGTTGAGAGCTACCTCAGGCAGGATAGCGTGGGCGATCAAGGATACGGTCATCGAGAGGCTATCCTGGAAGGCGCCCTGGACGAGGCGAGCCCCCCGATATCCTGCGGCTATCCTGGCTAGGTGGGAGCACCTGGTCCTGGATACAACTGTGGCCGTCGGCTGGAGAGCTTGGGCCTGGGCCAAGCTCCTAAAGGTTTGGGGCAGCTTGCGATGGTCGGACCTCCAGGCTATGGTCCCAAATGAACTGGCTATGGTGGAAGGTCGGCTATCCACCATCCTGCGACGGACGAAAACCACCGGGGCTAACAGACGCATACGGGAGCTACCTGTATGCATCTCGGAGAGAGCCTACTTCGAGGACCCTGGCTGGCTACTGGCGGGCTTCAACCTGCTAAAGAACCACGCGGGCTACCAGCGGGATTATCTCATGCCCAGGCTGGGCGAGAGAGGCGCCCTGGAGAAGAAGATGGCTACCTACGCAGATGCGATGGTGGCTACAGCGGGGCTACTGGCTATGGTGGGGATCCCGACGGTGGCCCGAGGCTACTGGTCGGAACACAGTGAGAGAGCAGTGCTACCCACCGGGCTGAGCCTAAAGCCGATCCCGCCGGCAGATAGAGATATGCTAGGGCGCTGGAAGCCCGAGGGCTCGGATACCTACATCCGCTCCTATGGCGGAAGGGTCGCCCGACTCCAGGCTATCTACGCAGAGGCGGCTAGAGCTCGGGACCGGGAAGAGCAGCTAGATGAGAGGGAGATTGCTGGCGACCTTGGAGGCTGGCTTTTCCGGACCGGCAAGGCTAGCGAGCAGGAAGCTGAGAAGCTGTCTGGAGAGCTGCGACGAGAGTGGGCTAGCGAGCGCATCGTGGAGATGGTGGCTGGCCCGGGGATACCTGAAGAAGTCGTGGCGAGCGATCCTCCCGAAGATAGACCAGACTCCTCGGCTAGTGAGCCGGAGCTGGGGCCGGAACCCAACCGGAACCGGCCGAGGCAGCTCCTTAAGAAGGCTAGGTGCACGAGCTATATCATAGTTGAGCTTCCAGGGAAGAAGTACAGGCTACACAAGGGGGGCCAGGCCGGGTGCTGGATGGGCCGCCGTAGGATATTTAAGAACTCCCAAGAGTTTTCGGCGAGGCCCGAACCCAACCAGTACACGCATGTCTGTAGGCTATGCTGGCCGAAAGGCCGAGGCGAAGAGCCCCCGTCTGGTGATAGCGACACCTCTCAGGCTAGCACCGGCGACCAGAAGCCGGAGCAGGGAGAGGAAGAAGATTTCGGAGAGGTCCCAGCAGCAGAGCTGCAGGGAGCACCTCCGGGGATAGTACCCCAGTTGCCGATAGCACCGTTGCCGGCTATTCCGTTCGGCTGGGGACCGCCTTTTGCCTGAAGGGATAGAAACGCCGGGAAAGCAGCGGGGCTGGACAACGGGGGGATACGTCCGGGGGGGGCCTCTCGGGATATACTCTTTCCTTCCCATCTCTCCGGGGGCGGCGGGCCCAGGGGGAGAAAGAAGGGGAGAGAGGAGAGAGAGAGGAGAGAATCACGTTGTTGCACTTGCTGTCTTGTCTGTTGGCTAGGACGTAGGCTGCGAGGTTCTTAGGCAGGCTAGGCTGCATGCGCACATGTCCGGCTGAGTGAGCACTTGTGGGCTAGGGCATGGCACAAATGCACTTGCTGCGGCTACTGTGGCTAGGGTGGAGTAACGGACCACCAGCTTTTCTGGAGAGCCCACGCTAGGTGGGCGAGCCTGCGTGCCCTCGTGGCCGGCTAGCGGCCCATGGCTACTGCCCCCAGCTGGGCAGACCAGACTGAGTCAGCTAGCGTCCAGGCGCAACGGATAGAAGTGCTACGCCTCTTGGAGGACTGGCTAGAGACTGACCCGGCTAGCTTGGCCGAGCAGATCTACGATCGGCTAAGTCTGGATAAGCAGCACGAGCTTCTCCAGCTAGTGCGAAAGGCTAGAGACATGAGGCTAGCCGAGTGCCAGGAGGGCGCCAGCATACAGCCTGGCGGCCGGCTATCTGCCAGGCTACTCAAGTTCCAAGGGGCTAAGTCTTGGGACGATATCTCTGCGGAGCTCGAGGCTAGTCTGTCCACCACCGAGGCTAGATACCTTGAGCAGAGGATAGAGAAGAATCGGCAGCTGGCCGGGCTACGACCACACCGACCGGGGGAGACCCTGGAGGAGGATAGCGTCACGGATAACGAGCTGGAGGCTACACCGTGGCAGGGGGAGGCCCCGGAGGCTAGCTGGTCTAGCGCCGGGCCGCCGCCCGAACGGCTAGACATGCTACACGAGATGATGGCTAAGCTCAAGGAGCTGGAGGCGGACTGTTGCTAGGCAAGAGGAGCCCCGTCCTGGGGCAGAGGAGGCCAGCACAGGGGATAGCACAGCGGCGAGGCCCAAGAAGCCGGCTAGGGACCCGCCGACGGTCCAAGAGTCCAAGGCTAAGAACAAGCGGATAAAGAAGAAACGGCTACCACCCTGCCGTTCTCGGCTGGGCTAGACCCGGCCCAGGTCGTCAATCCGGGCCCGGGGCTACAGCAGGCTAGGGCAGCCGCGGCAGAGACCACGGCTCTGGCTAGATGCATGCAGGGCTACCGCGGCCCGCCTTCGGACGTCCCGGCCTATGTGGCTAGGATGGAGGAGGTATACCGGATAGGCACCTTTCAGGACGGTCCGGATAGCAACCAGGATAGACAGCCGCAGCGGCGGCCAGGCAAGGGCGAGCCGGGATACGATCCCTTTCCGCCCTTGCGGCCGCAGGCTAAGAGCACCACCAAAGGACGCGGTGGGGATAGCGACCCGCTGGACAGAAGGCTAGGAGCGGGCCGATACAACGAAGCCCAGTGGGAGGCTATGGCCGGAGACGGCCGGATAGCTCCGGAGAGGCCCGCGCTCCAGCAGGGAGCGGCGGTGAACATCAACCTGGATAGGCCCACCGAACGGCTACTTCGCGAAGAGCCCGATGTGGTGCACCGGATAATGGCGCCCCCGCCAGTGGCTAGTCAAGCCAAGGGGCGACCACTCGGCCCGGATAGCGGCATGATCGATCAGACCTGGCTATACATTGCTAGGGCCCAGTGGCCCCTGGGGAGCTACGAAAAGGGCGGTCGCCAGGATAGAAGGCTATCGCAGTTGTCGCCGCGATGTCAGCGGCAAGGGGGCGATACACGACCCCAACTGGATATACAAGCTAGAGGATGAGGACTTCATCGCGGTTAGCACCCGGTCCGGCTATGCAAAAGAGCTAACGGAGGCGATCCCGGAACAGGGATGGATACTGTGCAGGCCCCAAGGGGCTACCCCTGGGGTAGGCCGATGGGAGCCTGCCGGGGCTATCTTCAGATGTATAGTGGTCTGTGATCACTGTCGGCTAGAGCAGTGCAACAAAAGGATGTGGTACTGCCTGGATACGCATGGGGATAGAGGCCATACGTGCAATAGCTGCCGGCCCCCGTCCGGCTCGGCTAAGGGAGCTGGCAGGGGCCGAAAAGGCCCGGGCTAAAGCACGGTCGTATGGCTAGATCTCCCAGACTCGCGGCTAGTGACGAAAATAGCGGATAGT